ATTATAAAGAAGGACGCAAGCATAAAAATTTTATACAGCATCAACAGCCTTAAAAAAAACAAAGCATAATATTTTCAACTCCGTAGAACCTTGAAGAATTCCATAAAAAAAATTCTCATTGCTTAAAGCCTTAAACAACCTCCATTTTCCTACCACAAAAATATAAAGGAAATGAAAAAAAAAAGTTTCCACAACACTGAAATAAACAGCGCGAGCGAGCGAACGACTGAAATGGAGAGACACAGAAAACTTTCCTTTCAATTTTAATTTTTTTATTCATTTTACCCTCGGTTTTTTTGTGTAATATGATTTGAATACTCTTGGAATTACGTATCTCTTTACATACTGAATACATATAGACGACGCATATTCTTTCACTGAGCTTAAAAGCTTTTCCCGCTTCTTTCTTCTTCTTTACCTTTTTTTTGTCTCTCTCTCCGATTGTCTAATAGGAAAATTTTTTACATTTTTTTCATGGGCTTTTCTTTCTGTTTTAGTTAAGCATATGAATAAATTGAGGATGAGACGGTGAAATGAAGAAATTAAAGTAGAACAACAGCCTGCCGTAAAGTGCTTTTCATAGGAAAATAAAATGCTTAACGTTTTTGAAAATTGAATGAGGAAATTGAAAACTTACCTTTACAATTTGTTGGCACTTGAGAAAGGGTTTGATTGAGAGTTTGACAAATTTCTTGGGAATTATATGTTTAAGTATTGATTTTTTTTTTCTCTGTAAAGTTGATTCGGTTTTTGAAGTAGACCCTTTTTCGACATCAATTATGTGAATAGAAGTTTCTAATTTGTTTGTGTCAAGAAAATTGTAGCTCTGAGAATGAAATTTCAAAGTCATGAACACACTTTTTATTGAGGATCTACTTCAGATTAATTTATTAATGAAAATGAAAATGAAAATGAGGGTTTGATTAACAACATGAAAGATTTGGATCTTAATTCAATTTATTTTATTTAAATATTTTCAATATTTTATGATTAAAATTTGTTCCTTTTTACTACGATTTTCTTAACTTGCTTTCTTATCTGTTTGATTGATTGTCCGCAAAATTTCGTACTTTTGTAATCGATTTTTTTCTTCTTTATTAGTTTTTAATAAAACAGTCCTGTAGGAAAAATTGAATAAACTTAAATGCTCCAGTGGCGTTGGCTTTCATTCCTTGCTTATACTTGCGTTTATAATAAGCACTTTCGGCCTGTTTCACTAAAGTGGATTATCCTCGATTTCGGATTATCCACTTCAGTTTTTTGGAAATATCTCTAGACGCTTAAGGTTATTAAGAGATCTAATGTGTGATCTAGCAAGAGTTCTTTGCTACTTAAATTAACATATACTTAGAATTTTTATATCTTCATTGGTTTGAGAATTATAGCAAAAATCGAAGGTTATCTACTAGATTTGGGTAGAAAATTGAATAATTAATAGTTCTTAACGAAAAGCAAAAGTTTAAAGTGTACAGAAATTTCAGGCATAGTTCACTCTATTATAATCCAAAATTAGAAATACCACACCTCCCATAAAGTTTAAGATATTTCCAAAAAACTGAAGTGGATAATCCGACAGCCCGATTGATATTGGGTTCGAGTCTCAGAATATGAGTTTTTTCGTTTGTCGTTTTTCGTCTAAAATGCTCTAGCAAGTGTGCAACATTGTGCTTCTTTTAAAGACTACAAACAACATTGTCATGAAGACAGAAGGTTATTACAAAGGAACCTTGAGGTTTCTGGAATATCTTGTTCAAATCTTGACTATGCTTCTAATAAGCTGAGTCTATGATCATTCTTATAATCTGTTATCAATCATTCATAAATGCCCGATCAGCACACATTGAAATTCATTGAAATTTTTGCCACAGTTTGTTTGTTTAACCGGCCGGGTTGATAGTATAATCAAGGGTCAAGAAAAATTATCAAAAATGATCAAAAATGATCAAAATTGATCAAAAATGATTAAAAATGATCAAAATGTAATTCTTCAGTTCCACACCCTTGAGTATAATAATTAGAACCAAGCGACAGGTACGTGGCAACAACCACTTGGCTTTCAAGCGGTTAGCAGTTGGTTCTAATTATACTATTAACTTCAAATTCCAAACACTAGGATTTGTAAACAACACACACCATTTATTTCTAATCGGTAGACAGACTCATACCTCCTCCACTCTTTACACCTAAAAGTTTCAGCTGATGAGAATTCAGTTAATTTATTGTTGACCAAGTTCCGATTTGTATCTTAGGTTAGGATTTTTTTATTCTAGAATCGAAAAGCTACGTTGTGTTAATAAAAACATTTAAGTACTACTGATAATCCTTGAAACAGGCAAAAGCTCGATGTAGACTCGATTTGAACCCAAATGCAAGTCAACTTTTTGCTCTAATTTTACCACGTTTTTGACAACTAGAATTGTAGCAAGTACTAAGATCATTTTCACAATTGTTGCCTCTTTTGATACCTGCAAATTTATTAAATTTCAGAAAATAAATCCCCATTATATCAGACACTAGCTGTTCCAATTGCCTTCCAAGTTTAAATTCTTCAAGATTCTAAATTAAAGCTTCAAAAGTTTCATCTTCATCATGTTTATCTAATCAATACCTACCAGCCTTCAAGACATTGCTAATATCCTGAATGATAAAAATAAACTAAAGTCATCCACCCACAACAAACTGATTTCGTCTTATTTTCCTCTCAGTTAAGTGCCTCAATCTAATAATAAAAGAAGTCATTCTTCTTCTTGAATCTTCTTTTTTTACATTTTAAATTCCTCTTCATTCAATTTCTCGACAGAAAGGAACGAAATGGCAGAGAGTGAGAGAGAAGATACATAAAGAAATAATAAAAATATTTTCAAAGGAAATATCTTTGTCGTTGTTGCTTACTGTAACTTTATTTCTCAAATAATAAGAATAATAATTTTCAATGTAAACCAAAAGAGAAAAGAAAAGTTTAAAGTTTATTTTGAATGACATTATACTTATGCGTGAATTGTAAATGGCAACTTTTTTCTTGCGTCAACAATAAGTCAAATTGCAATGCACTTTCGGTTGCCTCTTTGTTATGTTTAATATAGAGAATACAGAATGCGAGAGAAAATAAATAATTCGTTTTATTGTGTTTTGAAGAAAAAATAAATAAAAAAACGAAAATACATGAAAGTAGAGGTTCCAGTTGTTGGCTTTCGATGTATGAAATTTTTTTTATGGGACTTGAGGGTATTTGAAATACAACTTTTGTAGATCTCATGAGATTATCAAAACATGTTTAAATTGCAACATTTTATGTTAGCTTTAACTCCAATAGCCTTAAGGGTTTTTTTTAGAAAAAGGTGTATGAATACTTTGTAATAAATGGAGATTATTGGAACAGATATTTTATTATGGAAATTTCCTTTAGGTTATATCGTTGCAATTTGCTACAAATTCAGCAGAATTTATTTGAATTAAATTGATACATTTTTGGTTAAAATTTAAAAAAAAAACAAAGGCTTTCAAAGTCGTAAGAAGACGAGCATTGTTAAGTGACGTCACCATAACGCAGTGCTTCTAAGTTGGCTTAAAACTATATATAAGCGTACAGATCAGGAGCGCAGCCCAAACTTTTAAATTTTTCTCTACAAAGTATTTTAAAATCCATCGTATGGTTGCCTTCTTGCTGGTTCATATCATGAAACTTATCAACAGCCGATCGAGTTTATTAAGATCAAGGATCATCACTCAAAATTTCTTGAACGGGGTTTTTAAATTTTTCTATAAAAAAGTTAAGGGTGGAAGGCAAGGGTGTTGGAATTTTTTTTCAAAATCTCTAAGCAAATTGATTCAGGTTGACCAACCCCCCCCCCCCCTCCTCCTTCCCATGGCTTTGTTAGTTGACTAATCCATTCAAACCCCTTGATTTGACTTAACCCTTTAAGTAATTCCCATGCTCCTAGTTTCCGAGCCGGTTTACCGCAAAATGCCACCAACTTCCATACAAATACCTCCAAATACAGCCAAATACCCTCAAATACCGCCTCTTTATATGAAATACAGCTTAATATCGCCTTTAAAATACCGCCTAGTTTTCGAGCCTGGGATAATTCTCAAAATTTTTGAATAGCATGTTTCAAACTTAGGTTCAGCTAAGACAATTAATTTGATGACAATTTCTAGAGTTGTTTAATGAAAAAATCTAAAATTCTCAGTTTTAAAAATTCTATATTTTCTCCTAATTTAGCATCAAAGGGAATGCAATATGGGCTTATTCACTATTGACGTTTTATTAAATTTAAAAAAAACATATAAAATTTCCTTAAACATCAAAAAATGACAATCAATCTTTAAAAGGAGAATTAGTACAAAGCCAAACCTAAATGTAAATCCAAAAGCAATCTTCAACCAAAATTTACATCAAGACTCAACAATCCCGAAGAACCTCTAAATCAAGCAAAACAAAATCAACTTTGTTTAAATTTCCTAAGGAACTTGAACATACATTTTCCTTTCCAATGTGTTTTTTATTATTGAAATAAATTATTTGACTTGGCTGCAATTGTAGGCGATGAATTTTCATTTTAATTTATTTCATGTGAGGAAGTTTTTTTTTTCCTTTCTTCGTCTTGTTTTGTTGCCAACATTCAACATGACTTTCATGTTTTCTTCTTTTTTTTGCGTTTTTATAGAAACATCAGAGAATAATTGCAGAAAAAGTAGCATGAAAAAAAAAGAATTCATTCATCTGTATGTGCATGATAATGAGAATGAATAAAAGTAACACGTGTGGAAGAAAACATTTGAAAATATAAAATAAATACATACATTATTATAATATAAAAGGAAAGTGAAACATATTGTGATGAATTTAATTTCTCAACTGCAATGATAGCGAAAAATGTGAAAATTTATGCAGAAAAATAAAATCATGGAAATTATTTTTGCTCGTGTAGCTTCAAAATAAAATAAAAAAATAAATAAAAAATAAGAAAAAAAAATAAAAAGCAGTGCATAAATAAAATAAAAGCAAGTGGAATAATGAGGTTTAAAATCTTGGTGACTTCACGGATTTATCATCAATTGTTTATCATAATTTTGTTATTGAGAAATTGTGTATCGGGACAGATTGATTGGGCGGAGGATGATGATGATCCAGGTAAGTTTCATGATGCTGTCTTGTTTCATTTTTAATGATGTTGCTATTTATTGACAAGTCAATTATTTATTAAAATTATGGTACTTAAAGATAAATTATATTCTAGCTTGTGAAGATGTATGTCGGACATTTTATGACACAGTTTATAGTGGGTTCTGTAAAATCAGCAAATGCATCTGCAATCAATGACAATCTTGGTCAGAAAAAGTTTTTTAAGCTAATTATGCAAGATTTTATAGTCAGCAATAGAAATAGAATAATTGCTCTTACCTTAATGTTTTGAGTAATAACTTAACCTCGTTTCCCCTACCAAATGATTATTGTATTTGAGAATTCATTGATTCTGGATACGAGTCTCTTAATGTCATCCCAAGCTTAATGCTGATGTAATTGTCAATCAGAGATAAAGCCAAGGAATAGTTTTGATCAAACCTCATCCATAGAACAATTCATCTCGATGTCTATATTTCATTCAATTTACTGCTGATTTTAGATTTCCCTATAACTACTGCATGTGAAAACTAATATAGAACAAGTCGGGTTTGATGGGATTCAAACCCATGAACCTCAAAAGAGGCGATCTCTGACCACTCGATCATAGATCCTTGCCGCTCTGTACTTATATCACTTCTGCTATCCGCCATACAGATGCAGCCAGTTTCACGCCATGCTCAAGCTTATCTACTACAGATTTTCACTTCCAGCCATGTCTACATTGATAAAATCTTCTTTTTTATTATTAAAAGCTAATTTCATTGCTCTTCTATATCAAGTGTCAATAACGAGCTCAATTTTCTCAAACAAATTCCCTAATAATGCATTCATTATCTCAAATAATGCCATAAAAGTTTTTATTCATTTTTTTTCTTCCAAAATTCCATCCATATGTTCAAACTTCTACAATACTTCATCAATCACCGTTCAGCAAAAAAGAGAAAAAAAAAGCAAGCTCTTATAATATCCTTCTTCTTATTCCATGTCACAATTTCCTTACCCTTTTCTAGTTTCCCAAAAGAGCTTATTTCCCAAAAGGCTTTTATTCTCAATTTTAGTTGACATTTCTTTTTTATCGCAACAGGTTATTACACAACAAGAATCACTTCCCAACCATAAGCTCATTTCTAATACTCTTTTTTTTTCTCCTTGTTTCCCTGTTTCATGTTTGATGATTTATTGAGTAATAAGTTCCTCTTTACTCCTTCAAAAATTGTCATTTTCTAAAGAGACAGAAAATTTCCATCTCAGTTGACTTAAGACGAAAATAATTCATAATTTTCATCCTCCATGCAACAATCTTCATCATCAATTTACTTTGTTACTCAAGATGTATAAGTACACTCATCACTTATAAGACTCATTCAGTTCTTCCCCCCCTTTTTAAGTCTTTTCGCACATTTTTGTTTGCTTATTTTGAATATGAATAATAACAATAACACTAATAACAATATCATCATCAGTATAAAGCAAGTAAGCGTGAGACATTGTCACACTGTCTGTATATATGTGAATGAATGAAATAATAAGACAATAGAGGCATTTGACATGAAGCAAGAAATGAAATGCATAAAATAAAATATAAGGTGGGGATCCTTGTGATGATTTTGATTTACTTTGAGATTTTTGTATGAAAAAGGAGTTTATAAAAGGTTAATAAAAGGGGGTCGTTCAATTATTACGCAATGCTTTTAGGGGGGGGGGGGGGGGGGAGGTCTAAGATTTTGTTACGGTTCAAACAAAAAAAATTTTTTCATACAAATTTTGTTACGAGGGGGGAGGGGGTGTAAAAAGTAAAAAGGATACGACTTCAGAGATGATTATTCACGTTTAGTACTGTGTGATCAAGTCTTAAAAACGTAGTTCGGTGTAATTTTTGAGGAAGAGGGATGAGGGGGGGGGGGGGTGTTTTGTGGATGGATAAGAGAAATTGAGGTCCTAGCAAGTTGAAGAAATTTTCAACTTCCAGCTGATGATAAAAGCATAAAGAGGGAACAGCCTTTTCAGCTGGAGGCACTGCGATTCAAATTAGAACAGAATTTATTGCACCACACCCTTTAGACCTTCTGTTTATAGTGATGTTTGCGTTATCCTAGTTTGAAGTTACTAGTATATTTGCAAAATTGTAGAAAACTTCCAAAAAAACATTTTACATCCGAAAATCTCTCATATAAGCTCCGAGTCCCATCAATGAAATCCTCCCAAAATAATCCCAATGACAACAAAATCAAGCAACTAAGACATGCTTACTTACCTTTTCAACTTTCTTGCTCACTTGATGTTTTTCAATAATCTACTATTCACCGTCAGTTTCTTTTATTTTATTTCACTCCTTATTCCATTGACTTGTAATGTTTTTGACATTTCTATGGAAAAAGAACAATCATATCTATAACGGGTTTGTATGAAATTTGAGGCTGATGTGAATGAAACAAAATATGTGTATAAATACATACGTGTGCGTTTGATATATAAGCAGAATGATGATGATGAGGATAAAAATATATAAAAAAAATATTGTGTGTAGGAGTGAAATGAAATAAATAAAGGCATAAGGAATAAAGACAGTAGGAGAAGCTGAAAGGAATGAAAAATTAAGGAGAGTTAATGTAGTGGAAGCGCATTTTTATTAAATTGATGGAACAAAATGGCTTTTTTAACATCTTTTCTTTGTCATTCTTAATAAAGATGTCTGTCATTCTGAGAAAGCTGGCTGTTTTGGGATGGTTTATTACGTTTTGGAAGATATTTGAGGAAGACGCAAAATTATTTGAAATTCCGCCATTTCAAAGTTTCGATGGTTTGGGGCAGTTTGGAAAACTTCTTTCAAGTTCTAAGATTTTTAAATCAAAAAATGCCAAACTCCCAAGTGAACAACTTGAAAATGTGTGGATGGTGGAATAGAAACGAGAGCCACAAAATCACCTGACTAATAGAATATTCAATATTGATAAGCAGCCTTAAAATGTACTATGTGATAAAGATCCTGCTAACCCTTCTGTCACAAATCTTCCTTAACATTTTTATATTGTCACCAGGGGCATGGCCAGGAATTTGAAGAGTGGAGGACAAAAAAATTTTCTGTATGGAAAAATTTAAGGGGGGGTGGGGTGTATTTTGTAATTTTTTTAATAAAAACCCTAGCAAAAGAAAGAAATTTCTGTTTACGTTCGGGGATTTATCCCCCAAATCCCCCTTGGCTACGCGCTTGATTGTCACAAAAACTTAGCTCCTCATTTCCCAAAAAAAAACTATCAATGTAAAATTATAAATCTATAGAACTTAACAAGATAAAATTAAAGATTTTTTCAAACAAAAAAAAATTTCATCATCAACAGCTTTAAAAAAATGTTTAAAGCAATCCTTAAATTGCCAACTCATTCTGTAGGAAGTGTTTCTTCTTTTTTTCCGGTGTTATAAAAATCTATGTACACTGTTCGACTGCAAATCAGATTTTTCATTACAGAAACACCTGAAACCCATAGGAATAAAGCATAAATTCGAATACCTTTTACAATTTTAACCTTGACCTTTTATGTAATTCTATCATTTCTTGTATAAAATAATAAAACACCCACATTGAATGAACTAGAACTAGTAGTGTCTGCAAAAATATCGTTACAATCTTCAAGCTACTGAATAGACCCATAGCAATATTTTCAAAAGAAAGCTCTAAAATGTCGAAAGTTCAACCTCGAATGCTCGATATTTATTGCAAAAATGGACGTCTTATCTAAAAAGGGGTCGTTTTCTTATGACGTCCGAAATTAACGATCATTTTTCAAAAAGATTTCCTGGAATTTCTATTTTTCTTTTCTTGCTGACCCACCTGAACGTCATAAGTGAACGGCCCCAAAGGGAAGCCTAGAATTCATCTCCAACTCAAAATTTCTCGATAAATTTTTAATGAAGCCATAAACTAAGACATCACATGCCACAAAAGCCACGACAAGAAGACAAAATGCGGTCAAAGTCACAAAGATGCATTCAAACCAAAGAAATAAGATCCAACCCCAAACCAAGAACAAAAAAGTGTGTGTGAGATGAAAAACAACAAGAATAAGTGAAAGGGAAAAGTGAATGTCAAGCACTAACCATTTTTCTCAACACTTTCAAATGACATTGAGAAATGCGAATATTAAATTGTTAAGCATCGGCTGCAAGAAGCAAATATCAACAGAAAAAGAAGTCGACAAGCGAGGATGATGAGAAAGAAGTTAAAAGAAAAGGAAAGAGGAAGAGACGGAAAGATGAGAAGGAAAAAAAGTCTCTTAAAAAAAGGAAGAAAGAAAATTTGGAGCAAAGGAACAGACAAGGCACAACAACAACAGAAGAAGGAACAAAATAGAAAGAAAGCTGTCATGATTTATTAGGGTGGCACAAAATATACACACCAGATTATGATTTATTTTTTATGAAACATTTATTTTTGCTATGAATGAAAGAATCATGGATGTTGGAGGGGAAAGTGAGTGAGTGAGAGAGAATCAGTGACGGCAATAGATGCCATGGAGAAACAGAAAAAAGAAGTCGTAAGAGGCAAAATTGATTTATATAATCATTTGCATTATTTGAGGGCCATTAAACTAGGCTTAACATAGACACACAGTCAGTTATTGTGTGGCGGATGCGAATGAGAAAAATGTACAATGGCAAGAAAGAGCACCACCGCAATAATAATATCAACAGCAACATCCACACACAAGAGAAAAAAAATGGAAAGGAAAAGGAAAATGAAGACAGTAATGGGAGACAATGAAGCAAATTTTCTTGATAATCTGGCATTAAATTTGATAATCGTCCCTTACAATTACTCAGACCTAGATGAGCATAACATTTGTGTGTATGCGTACGGTGGTAAATTTCTATTACATTTATTTATGATTGCCATTTACTAACATAATAATGACAATAATCTGTTCTATCTGCTTCTTGTTACTGGTCTTTGATTGAAAAAATATTTTACCCATTTTTTTTCTCTGCTGTATGTGTAGGTCGTGTCTGAC